GCCTACTTAGGAAACCTGTGAAACAACTAACATAGGAGAGCAACATCATACACAAACTCAGAACACCAGAGACTCCCTATGCCCAGAGAAGGGTGACTGCCCGCAAGCTTGCCATGAACTTTTTTCCAACTACTCAGTTGATCTAATAAAAGCTATAACATCTACTCAAAGAACCTTGCCTACACACTCTCAGGCACGTAATGAACAAATTAGTAAATTAAACTACATCAGATTAATTTTAGGCTATGATTTTTTTATTCACAGTGTGCATTTCTTGCATATTTTTCCTTTTGTTTCTCAATGGATCTTCCAGTAGCATTCATAAGAAATTGCAATGCGCAGGAGAAAGCAGGTTTCTTTCCCTTAATTTACAGCTTAATGAGGCCACAGGATAGACTCATGGATACTAACCTTTGTTTAGCCATTATGATTGCCCTTTCTAACCTTGACATTTTCTTCTTGGATAAACTGATAAGGTGCCTCTGTGTTTGCAGTGTTCTGTTATGGTAACATTCTATTTTTAATGGTGGCTGCTGTGAGTTTACACTTGTGACATTATCTAGTTTGACAGGGAGACAAACTAGATAATGTAACAACTCTTTACTGCTTCTGCATCCAATATTCACTAGATACCTAATAATGCTGTTAGAGGAATGTTTAATGGACACAGTTGAAGTATTATAATTATTGAATCCATCATTAACATTCTTTGATTGCAAAGATGCCATCCTCTGCTCTTGTAAGTGGTAGGGCATTGAAATTTGCATGTTTTGGAAATCCAAGACAGAAGGGTCATAAAACAGGTCCAGCAGAACAAGGAGAGGATACAGAATCAGAGTATCATAGAAAATTAGGGTTAGAAGGGAGCTCAGGTGGTCATTTAGTTCAAGCCCCTGCTCAAAGCAGAACCATCCCCAATTAGATCATCCCAGCCAAAACCGGCCCCAGGACTGACCCCTGGGGCACTCCACTTGATAGTGGCTGCCAACTAGACATTGAGCCATTGATTACTAATAATCTCTGAGCCCGATACTCCAGCCGGTTTTCTATCCACCTTACAATTTATTCATCTAACCCATACTTCCTTAGCTTGCCTGCAAGAATGTTGTGGGAGATCGTATCAAAAGTCTTGCTAAAATCAAGGTACACATCCACTGGTCTTCCTGCGTCCACAGAGCCAGTCATCTCATCATGTTGGCTAGGCATGACTTGCCCCTGGTGAATCCATGCTGACTGTTCCTAATCACCTTCTTCTTCTCCAAGTACTTAGAAATGGATTCCTTGAGGATCTATCTGCTCCATGAGTTTTCCAGGGACTGAGGTGAGGTTGACTGATCTATAATTCCTTGGATCCTCTTTTTTTCCCTTTCTTAAATATGGGCACTATGTTTCCCCTTTTCCAATCATCTGGAACCTCTCCTGATCACCATAAGTTTTCAAAGGTGGCCAGCGGATCTGCAGTCACATCAGCCAACTCCCTTAGCACCCTTGGGTGCATCCCATCTGGCCCCATGGACCTGTACTGTATTAAAAGAACAACAGGCCCAAATTTGGTGGTTGCCCTCTCATCTCCATTTTTTTAAATTCCTGTCAATTATTTATGAGGGGATTTAAAATATTTCAACTCTCCTTTTTACTAGGGGGAAAAGTGATGGCCACCCAGCACTCATGAGCAACAGAATAATGCTTAATGTCAGTTTTAAGAAACTACAGGCCTGATCCTCATCTAATCTACACCAAAATAAGTGTATTGATTTTAGTGGTATTATTCCTACTTGACCCTTGAGTAAGTGAGGAGATCATCTGACCTCATTTCAATTTCATCTTTCCAACAGTTATAAAATGAGAAGAAATGGACAATGATGATGAGTTTTAAGTAAGCATACAGTGCAGTAAGCACCCCCCACCACGTGCGCACGCACGCGCGCGCGCGCACACACACACACGGAGATCCTTATCATGCCATTTATTCTTCCCATCAAAAGCTATTTCAGTCACTTAACCAAAGGTATATTTTGTGCCTACCACAAACCATGTAATATACATATTATGTATAGCCCCAAAAGCAACTTTCATTTTCAGCACTTCCAGATTTTCCTCTGACCTAACTTTCCCCCTCTCCACTTCCCAGTGGGTGCGACAGCAGGAGGGGATTATGTTGATATTCTTCCAGATAGCATGCTTTAACCAGCTGCAGAGATGCATCCTCTTAGAGCAGTGTTTCTCAACCCATGGGTTGCAAGAATATACAAAAGCATCATGAGCAAACTTTAAAAATGGATTCTCCTTTAAAGGAGAAAAATGTGGGAAACCCTGGCTTTTCCCTTGCAGGCTGGCAGGCTTCCAGCTTGCAAGGGACTGCTTGGGGTCTCCCTTACCCCACATACATGCCACCCTACTCCAGACACTGTGGGGCTGGGAGGAGTGATGGGCACTGGGTTGGGACTGGCTATTGATGTTTACAAATGGATCCTGGTACAAAGTCAGGACCACTGGTGGAGAACCACTGTCTTAGAGGTGGTGGAGGCCTCCATACAAGTACCCCCTTTTGCCTTCCACCCTTTGTCTTCACCTGAATATTTCTGTCAGTGCATTAGGGCTATTTGCAAAGAGAAAATGGTTTTGTAGGCAGTTAGCTATGACCAGCTGGCATCTCTACACTTTCAGGAGAAACTGAAAGTGAATGAGCAGCTCCTCCTGCAGCAGGCAAGCATATGTGGTGCAGGGAGGAAGGAATGCATGCCCTGCACAGCCGGCCAGCCTGGGGACCGGGGCGGGAAGCCAAGGAGATGAATCCACAGAGGATTGCTCAGGCAGTGGATTCACACAAACCAGCTTGCAGCTCCCCCTCACCTTGTTGGTGAAATAAGAAGCCAAGTAGAAGAGGCAGAAAGAGAGACCAGCTGCAGGTCTCTTTAAATACATCTGTCAAAGCATCTCCCCCGTGCCGGTGAGGATGATCAAGGCACTGGTGCTGCACGCTGCGATCAGCTGGAGACAGTGCTCACGAACCTGCTATCTGGAGTGGCTGCCATGACAGGGACACGTTGCTCTGTGCTCGCTCCAATAGGCACAAGAACAAGCTCCGGAGGCCCGGCCTTCTTAAAGGGGCCACGCTGCCTCCCGGTGCGGGAAACTCGGGCAGATAGATACGGGTCGCACAGACCCGCTCTTTCTCCGCCCCTTTCTGGGGCGCACACCTCCTTCCTCTGGCTGGACTCCTGCACCCCTCCGCACGGTCCCCTCCATTGTCTCCCGCCTCTGTCTGCGGGGTTTAGCATTTAGAAGGTCATCAATTAGAACTGCTCTAGGCGTCTGTGTGTGTGACAGCAAGCAAGAACGACCTAGATAGATAGATAGATAGATGAAAAAAAGAAAGAGCTATACATATAGATAGATACAAGAAAGAAAAAAGAAAAAACTATACAGATAGATAGATATAAGAAAGAGCTATACAGATAGATAAATAGATAGGTAGATATAACCCATACACACAAACACACACACACAAAAAATGTACATAAAAGTTCTAATGTATAACCTGTATTCTGTATATATACATGGGTTATATATATGTGTGTGTGTGGGTGTGTGTATAAAACCCATCCTGCAGAAAGTCATTGAGAATGATCACCTTTGATCTAGAAATCTGTAGGTGCTTCCAAACCTCACAGAAAAACCCTGTTGTCTCTTTTAAGCTGTACAGGCATGCCTACATGATGAAATGAAGAAATAACACAAGTGGGTTATGTCAAGTTCACTCAGTAGGATTGGGAAGCCACCTAACTCTCCAAGGGGTTGCACATCTTAACAAGAGCACTAGCTAGTGGTCCTATACTTCAATATTTCCAGTCGGAGCACCCTCAAAGAGCTGCTTTTCTAAAGTAGCCTGTAACTGAAATGTTTCTTCCTTCATATATACACAAATGTATTTTTTCCCAAAATATGTATCCTTATCTCTGGCCCCATGAGGACAAGATTAATTATTAAAATTTTTCTAGATATAAAAAGGTGATACTGTTAAAGTATGTCAGATCAGAAGGAGCAGCATTATCCTAATGCAAACAGAAACTTAATAATGGAAGTTCTAACTGAAATTATCTAGGATATCAGAACCTAAAAATACATTTTTACTTATAGCCAAGCTATGTTTTTATAAGTTTAGAGGCTTTAAGAGCTCCTTCTGAACGTCTCTCAGTCAGCTGAACTCACAGCAATAAGGCACCTAGCTTCCTAAAAGAAGAGGTGGAAGGAATTGGAGAGGTGGAAAGAATGGGACAAACAGAGTGAAATGTGTGTCATATCAGGATTTTATCAGCACTAAGTTGGAGTGACCATATTAACTCTTGTAGATTCACCATTGTGACAGTGTGGTAATTCCCAATTCATGCCACCTCATACCACAGTACCATATAGTCCTTCAAATATTCATATTTATATACAATACATAACCAGTTGTAAGATTTAGAAAAGATATACACTAATGAGACAAAAAAATAAACATTTAAATTAGTGTAAGAAATGGACAGCTGTACCCTGTCACCAGTACTATGATATCAGAGAGTTATAGTACTACAATATCAGAGAGTGCAGTGAGTTCCAAGAAGCTTTGTAATGCATGTACTATTAGAAGATGGTACTTGTAGCTCAGAAATAATTACATTCTTTGCAATATGTACATTATATTTTTCATGAAGGTAGCAGAAAGCATTTCTTGATACAGTTACCCTAGTATCATCTTTTAATGTATACTCTTCAGCCTGACCCTTTGAAAGTGTAATTAATTCTTTCAGTTGTAAAAACTGGATTCCCAGTCAAAACTACTTTTGTGAGATTAGGATTCATGTTAAATGCACCATCCTCTATTTTTGTGATGTTGTTATTGGAGAGATCCAACAGTTTCAAATTGACCATATTGTCTGTGAATTTTCTTGGCAAGATTTTTATGGCATTACAGCACAGTGTCAGCTCACTCATATTTCGAAGGCCTGAAACAATAGGTAAAGTGCTGAGACAGGTTTTATCCAAATGCAGAAATGCTAGCTTAGTATTATTTATGAATAGATCGCTGGGAAAATTTCCAAGACAATTTAAAGATAAATTGAGAACTTCCAGCTGCTCCAAACCTGAAAGGAAATCACAAGGCAGCACTGAAAGTAAATTACTAGATAGGTCAAGTTTTCTTAACTTGCTAACAAACACAAATGGTAAAACATTTTGGATTCTATTTTTAGAAATTGAGAAATGCTCTAGGTTGTGGAAGATTGTGAATACAGCATGTGGTATCATTGTAAAATTATTATCATCAAGAAGCAAGTCATTAAGGTTCATCGTGCTGTTAAATAAACACTCAGGCAAATGGCTTATTTTGTTGTGTGACAGATCAAGGATCTTAAGTTTAGGAATAGAATCAAAAACTCCTTGTGGTATGGTGTGGAGATAGTTACTAGCCAGCATCAAGGTATCAAGCTGAGAGAGACCTGCAAACATGGATGTAAGCATCTGCAGTCTGTTATTGGAGAGGTCCAGGTAAGAGAGCTTTTCTAAGGAGCTGAAAATGTTGATGTCCAGAAGATCTAGTCTGTTATCAGCTAAGTTTAACCAAACAAGTTTCTTTGTGTTCTTGAACAATTTTAATGGCAGGTCTGTGAAACTGTTTCCAGAGAGATCCAAAGAGAGGATGCTGTTGCTGATATCTTCAAAAGAATCATTTTGAAGCAAGAGCTTGTTGTGAGCTAAACCAAGGAAAGTTAGATTCTGGAAGTTCTGAAAGGCTCCTCGAGGAATGAGACTTAGACAGTTTTCATTCAAGATCAATGTTTCTGTTTTTTGGTCAAAATCAGGAGGAACTTCATTTAGATTGGCATGCTGGCAATCTGTTAAAGAGTGGATACAAAAGCACTTCTGGGGACACCCAGGAATTGAAAGGATATATCCAAAGAACAGCAGAAACAGCAGAGGAACCATTATTGCTACCTGTAGAGACAGGATCTGGGGAAAGGAGGGAACAAAACAACCAACAAGTGTTAGGTCTTTCATTTGGGTGTGATTTAGTTTTTAATAAATAAAGATAATGGTGGCAGGTTTTACTTTACATCTCCAAGGTCCCATGGTTGATGGGGTGGCTACACATTGCAGAAACAAGCTGAGATGACACAGAGACACAAATTAGTTGCTGCTGGTGTAAACTGGTTCACCTATATGTTTGTCAATGCAGCTGCACATCAGTTTACATCAGCAAAGTATCTGGTGTGTTACTGCTGATATTACCCAGAGGTGCATCCAGTGGATCATATGCAGCTGTGCCAAAGCAAGGATGTTTTTTGTGGTGACTAATAAATCTCTGATGATAACTTCAGCCTCTTGTAAAAGTGTTCTTTTTTCAGCCCTTGCAGTACCAGGGTCAATAACTTCACTGAAAACAGTGGGATCGTACCACAATTAAACTAACACAAGAGAAATCAGAGACAGACAACAGAGCTCTCTCATTATTTAATTGTGCATCTTGTGCCTTAGCAGGTCCCCCTCTCCACTCCTTAACAGGCTTTCATTCACTATCTCCTTTTTTTTTTCTTACTTGCAACAAACATGCTTCTTCTGATCTGGATATACTATCTATTTCAGATTCTTCCTTCAACTATCCTAAGTGTTTAGAAGATAAGTAGGGGGAATCTTAAGCCTTGCAGCTGGGAAACATAATCCATTGGTTTAATTGGGACTCAATTTGTTTGAATTGACTGCTTTTAACTAGGGCAAGAGCACATGAACAAGTTACCAGAAGGGGAAAAGGAGTAGGGATTTTTGAGCATCACTTCCACTCTCTCTGCTTGTCCATACACTCTTACCCTACAGCAAATGGAAGCTAATCCAGAGTAGTTTACCCCCTTTTCAGTGAGACAACTGATGATGACTTGTTCATGTGTCTCTGCGTAATCAGTTCAAAAGTCATCTCCAGCAGCTTTTTCTACATGGGTAGTTATTCTGGTATTGTTGAACTGATGTCACTATCCCAATACAACTCCCTGATGATTTACTGCTTATTTTTTCACATTTAAAAATAATGCATTGTTTACTCTGTTTTTCTGGAAGAATTTCTGGTTGACTGAAAAATGTGAGACTGACATCTCAAGTAGAAATGGGAAATCTCAACAAATGAGAAGGAACTGCTAATTAGACTTTTACAATTACTCCTAAAAACATGCTTTGATTAATCTGCACTGAACCAAAACACTTGACAAATAGTTGGTGAAATATTATTAACACTTCCTCAACATCTGAAGGACAAAAAAGTTCTCTCCACAGATCTTTAATTGTTCAAAGAGTCCTCGATGAAAAACAGGGAATACAAGGCTTGGCATTTCTAAGGTAAAACATAAAGAGATTTTTTTTGTTTCCAAAACAAAACTAAAAGCCTTTCAGAATGTCTAACATCATCAAACAGCTGGAAGACATTGTTTTAAATGTTAGCTTATAAGCAACTTTTAAGAAAAGAAGAAAAATCAACCATATTTGTTTACAACAGGTCACTTCTGGAAAATCAATCCTTTCCTTGTTAAAAGATTTTATAAGTCAATCTCAATATTCTGCAAGTGCAAAAGCAAGTTAGAAATCAACATACAGCAAAATATTTCTAAGCAAGTGGCCAATACCTGAGATGTCCCTGTGTACTCTTGGGTATACCTTCAGCAGTCTGACAAATGCAACTGAAACTGATCTCGCAAGCCATAGCTTTCATTGCTTAACTTACATTCTTTGGCTTGGCTTCTTGGTTCAGTAGGCTTTCCCGGAAAAAAGAATGAGCAAATACAAGCAGACAGCAAATAACTAGACTTAACAGTAATACCTAGACACTATAGTGACTGGTGCTCTATAATTATCTTTGGCAGACAGAGAATATAGATTCTGTCTCACCTAGCCATTCTTAATGGGTATTTTTTAGTTATGCAGGTCCCATTTTTCAGGAGTGAGCAGTGAACATAAATGCATGGGGCTGGACCCTCGGTTTTGTACAGATGTAGATAGACCAGCTTGCTGAGGCTGACGGATGCAAGGAAGTAACCACATTTTAGAGCTCAAGGGACAGTAGCACAGAGGACTTAAAAAAATAGAAGACATGGACACTTACATGCCACAGTGACAGAATACTAGAAATGTGTAGATAGATTACACTGTAGCCCTGTTACACAACATGTAGAAATGCTGTTTGAAGGAAGTTTAAAAATTGTTTTAAAGATGCCAAATCTGTATTTTGCAGACAAAAGTGTACTTTTTAGTATGCCACACATTCCATACAAATCACTTTTAATGTAGCTAAGAACATTTTACAGCTGTTTGTAAAAATAGGATTGTAACTGAGGGATTAAAAGATATTTGACTTTGACATGGTAGTGTATCTTTATCTTGCATAATGTTTATTCAGTGTCTCTCTTTGTGTTTTCTGCAGTACTTTTTATAACAGTGAAAGATTGCTGTTATGGCCCAAAAAGGATTTTTCCCCTCTGGTTCAAGTCAGTAAAAATTATCCAACAGTATTTTAGTCTTGGGTAATCCATCTATTGCTTGGTCACAAACTAAGAATGAGGAGGGAAACTTACATAAACCCTGGTTATAATGACTAAGTTAAATAACACATTGCACAATCTGTACATATTTGTTAACTATCTGGAGAAACATGAAGGGAAGTCTTTGGCTCTAAATATACTTTATATTATTATTATGATGAAATATTAACAAGTGACAAATTTATCCGGTTACATCTCATTTTACAAAACACTCCCTCTTGTTAACACTCAAAACTAGATCCAAAGTCTGCTAATATGAATCAAAGAATTTCCATTCACACATTGAACAGTGTCTTGAAGTAAAACTCCCACTAAATGTTGCATAAGAACTGCAGAATGAAGTCTTAATGGAAATCTTCAGTCTTGAAAATATGAAAAACTGAGTCGTTTAGTAAAACTTGAATGATGAGGTAATTTTAAACATCTTTTTATAAGCAAAATTTGAGAGACATTGCTCATTAGAGCTGATGCTCAATAAGATGAAATGTTAAATACATTAAAGTAGATTTTAATCTTGTCAACTGTGAAAATCAATTGCATTATTTCTGCCAGCCTTGAAAGAGAGCTATGTTTTCTGACAAGAACACTTACATTTTTGCTTGCAAGCATTGTGAAAATATGTCCTATCACTGAGCCAGTGTCTCCTATTCATTAATGACAAGCTGTAAAAATTTATGGGTAATTGATTGCAAATGTGTTGTACTATACAAATTGTCACAAGCATGCTAAAAGCTCTTGATATTAAAGTCTTCACAGGTCACTTTCTGACCACATAAAGTGGTTGCTTTATATTATGCTCATGACCTATAAGGTCATAAGAATGGTTAAGCATTGGAACAGATTACCTAGAGAGGCTGTAGAATCTCCATCCTTGCACGTTTTTAAGAGGCTGTTACACAAACACTTGTTTGCAAATGGTTTAGACTGGGATAATCCTGGGGCGGGGGTTGAACTGGGTGACCTTCTGATAGCCTTTCCAGACCTATTATTCTATTATGTTTACAGAAAAAGCTTGATTTTTTTCAGGGGTCTAGGCACTTGCAAGTCCTATTAGCTTCAATGGAATTTTTGTGAGTGCTCAGGCCCTCTCAGAGGTTGAGAGGCCTGGGCCACTTCCATTTTTTGAGGGTCCCAGTATATTAAAAAAATATGAATTCATAGTGCACCACAGGTGGTGTGGCCCGGTAATGGGACACAGGTTTTAAGTTGTATGATGAATGTCTTCTTCTTTCAATCCTGTTGGTGTATCTCTGTGTCTGTATGTATAACCTCATGTGGAGATAATGTCAAACGTCTAAATTTGAGGCCCTCCGTGAATGAGAGGCCTGGGCCAAATGGCCCTCCTGGCCCCTCCTGTGGTAAGCCCTGTGGGTGCTCAGCAATTATGGAAATTGATTTACTTAAATGTTAGTGCTGAATAACATTTTAAAACCCTGATTTTAGTTTCCCAGATATGATTTCCCTCACCAATGGCTGTTACTGGAAAGACTGGTCCTTTGTGCTGAATGTCAAGTGAACTGTACAAAATCCTAAAAGAGTGGCTGTGGAACAAACTACCTTATGCATTGCTATCTATTTTTCTTTCTTTAAGCACTTAATATTTTTTTTAGATTCAAATCTGTGATTTTACTTCAGATATATTTTTTTTAATTCTCTCAGCTCAGAGTTGTTTCATGGGAGTTTCAGACTATCTCATCTGACAATCGACCCAAATTCTATTCATTCCTGATCTGTCGTCACTACTAGGTAATTACAAGTTGGTGGCTTTTCATCCTGCTGCCAATTCCACGCACCCATTGTATTCCTACACATCTCCTCAGCAAAAAGGTTTGAATAGAGATTCTGCTGCATTTGTCTCCTCTACTAGTCTTGCCAATTCAATATTTTTCTTAAAGCCTAAGACAGGGGAATATGTCTGCCCCTCATAGTTGCAGACGAAAATGTGAAAGCATGATGTGAAAAAAGACAGGAAAGTACAACACGCATACACACAGATGCAAACACATATGAGCGCTTCAGAATTAATAGCAAAATAGCTGCACAAGTTGTATGTGTACGATAAAGTGGGAAATTACATAACAGCGTGGCATGTTGACAGTAGGATTGTCCAGTGTGCCCATTGATTGTGACTACGTAGATAAAAAATGTGCTCCAGAAAATAGTCATTGCACACAAAATGGTTTTATTTCAGAATTGCTGTTACCATGTGAAACACCTCTGTACACACAGATGTGTGTGTGTGTATGCGCACACGCCCCACCTCTAAACCCACACTTTTGAATTTTTTAAGCCTGTCTCCTGATGTCTTTTGACACCTGACTGCTTTTTTCATTACAGCAGCAACCTTATGTGTCAATGTCCTGGACGGTGCCTTGCCCCAGTAGACTGCTTCTGAACTTGGATCCTTATGCACAGTTCCTTATTCCTGGTTCCTGGCTCCTTTTTCAAAGGTTCTCTACACAAGCCTCTGGTCCCCCTGGGTGGGGTCTATCAGGGCTGTGCAGGGGGCAGAGGGATGGGATGTCACAACACTCCCTTCGGGTGGGGCCAATGTTGCCAGGTCTAAAATATAACAGATTTTGGAAGCTCAAAATTATCATATTTGCTGAAAAGCTATTGTACACTGAAAAAAACCTGTGAATAATTATGCAAATTAAGTATTCTTATTTACAGTATATTGCTTACTGTAAGCCACCAGTCAGTGAGTGAGCACTGGGTCATCAGAGTTGAAGCTTTCCTTTGTTTTGAGGCAGGCACTCACACTGAAAAGTCGGTTAAGACTCCCTGAAGCTGCTTTAGGTTTTGCATATGCTGCACCAATTATCTGCCTCAAAAATTACCGCCCACCTTGAACACTTGTATTACTGACTGTACCTCATACAGGGGTTCAAATTACTGGACAAATACAATCGTTATTGGGCGGCGGACAACACGGTACCGGAGCCACCAGGAGCCCCCCGCAGGCCGACCGGGAACTTCCGCTCAGGGCAGGCGAAGCGAAGCCCCGGGAGCGCCCCCGGCGGCGGCGGCGACCACAAGTCAGCTCCAGGAAAACGCCGCAGGGAGGTGTCAGGATGTCACCGGAACTGCCTGCCGGAAGTATCTCCTGGACCAATGGGAAGCGCGAGTGAAAGGTCACAGTGAAGGAACTGGAGGGCGAAGGAGGAAGTTACTCGTGGACTTGAAGCTTCTCGCCGCCGCCTTGCCCATAGTCGCCGCTACTCCGCCGCCGCCGCCCCTGGATGCGCAGATGGACCCGGTCGGAGTCGCCGCCCCCGCCGCCCCCGAGGCCCACCCGGGCCCCGCCTGGCAGAGCAAGGTGAGGCTGGGCCGGGGAGGCCTCGGCGGAGCGGCGTCCGGGGGGCGCAGTGCGGGCTCACTGCCGGGAGCAGGGCCGAGCCGGGTCGAGTCTTTTCAACCTAAGGGGGAAAAAATGAGCTTCGAAAGGTCCCGGCTGGAGCGGGTGCGCCGGGCTGGGCGCTTGTTTGGGCCCGCAGGCCGCAGAGGGAGGCCTGGTGTGCTGTCGTGGGCTTGGCAGGCCAAACCCAGGCAGTGGGCTGTGTTTTGCCCACCCCTGTGCTGATACCCGCTGCTTGGAGCAAGTTGCCATGGGAGCGTGATAAGTAAATCTGCTCCGTCCACTAGTGCTCTGGGCGAGTCCTGCAGGAGTTAGCAGCAGAGGCCAGCCAAGCACTGTGGATCAGACCTTGGCTCCACAAGCTCCTGTATCTGCGGGGTTGGCTGTTGTTCGTTTTGGTTTTTTGTTATTGGAAGATTTCAAAACAAAAAATTTGTTTTCTGTTTTGAGTGTTTGATGTATGTATCATCTTTGTAGGCTTTAGGAAAGAAATCTGGGTAGAGTTGTGACTTGCCCATGACTCAGTCCCTGACACTTCCTGCCTGTGTCAGTGAGTGTGTGGTCTCGACATCTGACAGAGTGGCTTTCCCTCTCCATTATGTTTAAAGGGTATTGAAAAGAACAGCTTTTGCTGTGGTGTGGTCTGCAGTATCTGCCGAGTCCTCTCTGTGTTGGTGGATTCTTACAAATTCAATTTTTATATGGGATTAGTTATCTGACATTATTTGTTTTTCTTCAGTTATATTTTTAAGACTGTAATTTTGATACATAGGGTGCTCAGTGCATTAGGAACCTTATCAAGATATTGAAATATTATTGTGCTATTCAGAGCCAAAAGTTGATATGTGGTTTCAGATTTTTTTCCAGTTGACAGAACAGATAAAATGCAATTCTAGAAAAAAATTTGCATGTCTTCACTTTATCTTGGGCTAAGTAAGCATGGCTGAAAGTTAGGGCTGGTTATCCTGAAACTGGATTTACATTGAAAAATTCTATAGGTACACCGACACATCAGTCCGATATCAGATTGGCACCGATATAAAGAAAAATGACTATTGGAAATCGGACCTATGTGGCTGATAATTTGGCCTCCTAGCGCTGCCCGCCCCATGGGCAGTACCTATATGCTAGAAAGAGCCAGGCGCCAGCCCAGCCGGAGCCTGCAGCTGCATCCTCTCCCCCTCACCCCCCCACCGTGAAAGTACTTATACACTGTAAACAACTCAGCTCTTAATCTTTTTTTAGATAAATTAAATAGGCTGAAGTTCCTCTGTTATTTTAAAGCATTTTCTCCAGCCCTCAGAATATTTCTGCAGCTCTTTTCTGTACCTTTGCTTT